GATTGTGTCATTTATTCATATAATGTGGTCATATTCAAAGCAATCAACAAATAGGATGAAACATTTTATAAACTATAGGAGCCAAAGTTTGTTAAATTTTAAACCTGTCATAATGGGTGGTGGTAAGGTGAGGAGAAGACGCTGGGACCCAGGATGTAAGATGAAAATGATGAATTTATTGTCCGGAAAACAGGCATCACTAGCTGTAATGGCTAATAGGTGATGTGCAATTCACTAATAATGATGGACACTGTACTCCCCAACTGCCCCAAAAAAGTCCCACTGAAAACTTTGACAAGAGCAGAGACATAGTTGTGACTTGGAAAGTGGTTACACTAGCATCACTAGAACGTTATGAGCTTTTCAGCAGCGTACAGAACCAGGGACAGCTGCAGAATCGCAGGTGAGACAGAAAAGGATATGAAAAATGAATTAAAACCCGTATTATTGCATCTTTTGACAGAAAATAAATGCGGTTGCTATGTGTAATTCAGCAGGGCCCAGCTTTATGTCAGCCAATTCAGGGTCAGCTGTGGAATCAGAATCACATGATTGAAAAATACAAAGTTTGCACTGACAAGGATTCATTTAGCTTACACAGAAGTTATTTATTCTGTTTTTTGAATTCTTTAGTGACATTTTGACTGTTATGGACAGTTGTTGATGTTTTTGAGCACTTCATAAAATCAGGCTGGGAGCCTGGGAGCTATATTATTGTGATAATTTTTCACAGAAAGTATTACCAAATTTTGTAACTGTTTTCAACTGTAGGGAAGCATTGAGCAAATATACAGACCTGTTCCATAAAATGGAATTTGATTGAAAAGTTCAATATTTAGTAATTCCATCACCAAGTGAAACACATTATATAGATTAATTAGATGACTGATATTTTAACATCTTTATAACTGTTAGTATGTTTAACACCCGCTAAAGGGTTATTATCAAAAGGTACCATTAATATGACAAGCTTATTGAATAAGACTGCATATGGCATTCACATTTAAGTTTTGACCTTTCTTAGCACTAAAAAAGGTTTTCCAGTCGCATAAACTGTGGCCAATAAAGAATGTGAACATTTGTTCAGCCTATCACCTCCCACCCCCATAGTCCTCTTCTTCACAATGCATCCCCACCAACTTTCAACACAAAGTTATGCCCTTGAATACACATATTCAGGCATGTACATCTGTAGGTGGCACTACAGTAGAAAAAAAAAAGTGTTTCACCTCATAACTCAAAAACTGCAAGTCCCATTGTCAAAATTTATGTGGGCAATGTTTCCTAGAAGGATTCTCCAACAGATGAGCCACTGTGCAAAAGTTTTTGGTCTGGACTATTTCTCAACAGAGAGCCATGAACATTGCATTATCCAAAACCAATCTCGCCCTCAAGTATTAAGTCTCAGCCAAATAAAACCTACTACATTAAGCGCTAAAGAAGAAACAAAAAAGTTATCATAGCAGATTTTTTATTTTTTTGCCCAATTAGAACTAATTAATTATCGCTATGAACATCACTGTGAAATTCAATTGTCCATAATTTTGAAAACATAAATTATTCTGAAATTTCTGTTGCACTGGCAACTACACTCATGCCAACTTGTTAGGTCAAAGGAGACATGAGTTTTGTTTATGTAGCTGTTAATTCTCTATGTTATCTAAGCTACTAAGTTATCTATTGTTTAGTTTGCAATTTATTATTGGATTGAGCTGATTCTAAATTGATAGAAGAAAATGAATGAGTATGTGGTACACTCTCTGCTCTCAGTGTAGGTGGACACTTTTTTCTCTGCTTCCTTCTCCTTTCCTTTCTTCTCCAGCTTCTCTTGCTCCGTTTTCGTGCTGCTTTTTTGGAGCCTTTCTTTGCGCATCCTCCAAATCTACAATTAAGACTCTGGTTAACTGGTCTCTCAATAATGCATTTAATCAAACTTTCTCAATGAGAAGACTGGGCACAGGAGAGCCCACTTTCCTGCTGGGACATACCCAGCGGGATTCATCCTGGATTTATTTGGACTCATGATATATCTGGATTTCTGCTGTTTGGAGCTTGTGGACAAATTTGTGACAGACTGAGCCGAACTACCGAACACTCAGACTGACGTGCTGTGAGACAAGTTGGATGCAATTCTTTCAAAGGCAAACTTTGGACGCTAATACTCAGTAGCAGAATAGAATCAATCTTGGTTGCAACCACACTAATTTGGATGATTGGAAATAAGAAATGTACCGGTTGAGACCTTGGGATGGATAGAAATTTTAAGTTTGCCCTTTCTACAGTCAATTTGTTTATTCTGAATCTGGCTCCCTGTGTCTGCCACCCTTGGCTCACTGACAATCTTAAATCTCCTGGAGTTTATCTTCCCACCATAGCTTAGTTATGCTAGCTGACCACAGATAGAATAACTAAAGGGGAGCCAAATCCACACTTATCTTGGCTAGTAACATGTCAGGACAAAAAATAACCCTTCCTGAAAAATTGCCGACTCGGTAGACGCGCACAGAGCACTGAGGTTGGGGAGGGAACTTCATCGGGAGGTGTGTACAGAGTTGTTTGTGCGGACGGGCGATGTAAGGGGAATGGACCTGCTGGGTCAGCCGAGGAACCAATTGTAACAGCTTGCAATTCTAGTTTAATTTATCTATTGTCAGGTATTTTTTGTTTTCTAGAGTCTGAGTGGCTTTTGTGTTAATTAGTCTCCCATCTTTGGTTTTGCTGCTTTCTCCCTGCCCCAGCTTTTTGTTGTTTTTCTTGTTTTGTTTTAAGGCATTTGGCAGACCAACTGCGATGGTGTATTACTGCCACCATCGGTGAGCTGGAGTGTGGACAGCGCACACAGCTGTAAAACATTTCTTCATATTAGTTCCTTTGGTTTTGTGACATTTTTTTACTGCTGCCTCTGTATTTAAGCTCCTGATTTCTCATTGTTGGATCCTTCTGTTTCACTGCCTGATTTCCATTCAATGGTCTCACTGATCTTGCTCCATATCCTGTTTTACATATATCAAGACCTCTAGATTTCTCTTATTTAAAAATCAGTCTTTGAAATATGTATTTTAGGGGCTTTCTGTAACTTGGCTTTGCCAAACAAAACAAGCATTCATCTTCAAGGATTAGAGAAATTAGCTAATACTTGGATTGCAAATTAGATCTAAAGCAGAAATCTGTTGCAATTTGTGAGCTAATAAACATTCTTTGCACTTTCTGAAATTATCAAGTCAACTCTGTTCTACATTTTCAAACTACAATCTGTTCTTTCATGATGTTTACCTTGTCATGATCAATTGCTGTGTCTCCAGTGATGACAATTCTCTTCTCAATTCGAGTCTCAGAAATTCCTCCTTTCACCGTCTACAACAGATAATTTACACAGACTGAAACACATATACTTTTACAGAGATTCATCTTTATTGTGTCTCTATATTGTCTCTTTGAAGATAAAAAAATTCAGTTGTTGGTCATAATGCAGATATGTAATTTTTCCAGCACAAACATAATTCTTTTGTGAGATATTTTAAAGAATTTGTAGATTTGCATGAAAACAGCTAGCAGCAAAAAACACTTAATCATGCTTTATGTTCCTATTACTGATGTAAATTTAAGAAAAGGTTGGTAATAGAATTATGCCAACTAAGATTTAAAAATGAACAAACTTGTGTCAGTCTATTGCATCAGACTGCAACCTGTGGATATGGGTTCAATAATTCGTCCTTTTTTATGTTTAATAAAACCATTTCCCCCACTTTTAAATGTTATGAAAGATTATGGTTTTACTTTTCCATTTTTTGACTAAAACAAATCTGATCACTCATGAAGAAAGCAAGATGTTTAAAGTTTCTGTTGATGTGTATTATCCATTTTATATTTACATAATAAAAATTGGTATAAAGATGTATGTAATGTAATCCAACCCAGGCTTTATTTGGACACTTTGTCTCAAAGTCAGGCACACATGGGGAGGAAATGTAAATAAATCAGAATCAGCTTTCTAAATGTTTTAATTGTGATTTTTAGTTGTAATAGAAATCAATTTTTATAACTCCCCTCAATTAAATGTTTTGTGTTGTATGTAGGAAACATTTCCTAGTCAAGGTTGCAGGCTGCATTATGAACCTCTTTTTATTTTTTGACGAATGACTTATTGAATCTTGTAAGCTATTTTTTTGTGAAATCTATTTATACTCTGAGCGAAACTAGAAAGTAAATAAATAAATAAAAGTTCTCATTGAGTCACCCAGAACATGTTTTAGTGAATTCTGTTGATGTTATTGCCTGTTCGCCTGTTAATGATACACACAGACCTTAGTGATCTGGGTTGTGGTGGTGGTGCTGATAGTCTCAGAGGTGATAGTCTGGGCACTCAGCAGCACTCCTGAATCCTTCTCTGCTAGGGTTTCCACAGGCTGTCGGAGAAATGCATTGATTATTAACTGTTCAAGACCATCATACCGATCTCATTTGTGTCTATAATTTGACTGTTGATCTCAGAAAGTTTTTCACTAAGACGCTGTATTCTTGTGTTGTTTTGAAAAGTTAGTTTTGTTAATAGGCATCACTTACTGTGTATTAACTAAGATTTCAATAAAAACACTATTTTATTAGTAACAATAATATGTTAGTTTAACTTCCAGTTTTAGTAGATTTTCTTTGGACTATAACTCAACTGATTTATAAATGAAACTTGTCTATTGTTAACATGCAGCTATTTACAAAAAATAAATACAATTTCATACTAAATTTTCAAGAATCATCCTGTGTAAAACAAGTAAAATAAATTTCTAACTAAATGAAATGTCATCAGAGACCTTAAGACAAATTGTGACCATTTCTGCAGAGAAGCTTTGCACACAAAATATAACTATTTGGTTTTACACACCAAGGTTTATTTAGGACAGTGTTTCCTAACCGTGGTCCTGAAACCAAACTGCTCTGCATGTTTAATATTTTTCCCTGCTTTAATGCACTTGTTTCAGCTGATTGCAGTTCAGCAAACACCTGTTAATCTACCACCAAATTAAATGAGTTTGGCTGAAACATGCAGGACCGTTGTGGGGGGAAAAAGAGTAAGGAGACACTTTAATTCATGTTCAGTGTCGTTCTTTCTCCAACCTGTTGAAGTGACCTTTGATTATGCAGTGATAAGAATCAAGGTACTATTTAGTAGGGATAAGTCAAGTTCCTTCTAAAGATTCTGCTTGAGGCCTTTGCTCCCTTAAGCAAAGTTTATAAGTCTATTGTTATCCAATAAACTTTATTAATTTTTTTCACTTAGTATCAACCAGATCATTCTATTTCACCTTAATTTGGCAATATTTTTTATTCACGCTTTTCAAAGCGTGAATAAAATTTTTATACATTATACGTTCAAATTTTTATACATTTTTGTAGAAAAAAAAAAAAGTACACAATGCATTTCCATATTTTAATAAAACCTTTAATAATTTTTTTCAGTTTTTCTTAATGAACTTGATTGAATGTCTCTTTCTTGCTCCAAATTCCTGTTAGGAGGCCTGGGTCTGTTTCCACCAGAGGGAGCCAGGAAGCTGCTGTGGAAGTCAGATCTGCTGAGTGAACTCACACCTGTTAATCAACTAGGCTCATCAGCCCAAGGATAAGAGAAGCTAGTTTCCTGTACTTCAGAGCTTGAGTGGTTAATCTTCATCAGGGATCCTGGAGGGCCGGTCTCCTGCAACTCTTAGATGTCTCTCTGGTTCAACACACTTGAATCCAACAGCTGAATCTCCTCCTCAGTGAAGTCAGGTTCTCAAGAGTCCTGCTAACGACCTCATTATTTGACTCAGGTGTGTTGAAGCTGCAGCTTTTAGATGCATCTAAAAGCTGCAGGAGACCGGCCCTCGAGGCCTGGAGTTGCCCTCTCCTGATCTACATGATACTCTGAGCCCTCTGAGGTTCCAGCAATATTGTGTTCCTTGTGCTACTTTTGGTATCTCCTTGAATTACCTCTTTTTGTCCTTTAAAAATTCCACCGTTGACTTCTTGGATTCTGCTCCTCAAATCTTTCTGGTTGCTACTCGTGATCTTAAGACTCTAGGAAAAAAACCTGTGGTTCACGTGCCACGACTGGCAATGTTCCATTCCTCTTCCTCGATTCAAGCTCTGCGTAACCTGTCCATATTCCAATGTCTCCACGATTCTGCATCTTTCCTCTGGTCCTTCAAAAGATCTCCCTCGCTCCAGCAGTTCTAAGATCCCCCACATAGGTTCAGTTCAAGTCTCTTTCCGTTTCCCCCACAGACTCATCATTATGAGTAAGATTTTCATTTTTTGTCTACATTTTACCCCATTGTAAGATCATGTGGACCAAAAGTTTACTCAATACTATGACAATCTCAGATTTTTACAGAAGAAACATATATGATGTAATGCGCATTTAAACGTCACGAAATGTAAGTACTAATAACTACTTCATTAGGTAAAATGCAATACAATTAGTAGTTACTACATCACTGCTGCAGTGTTGAATATGGTTTATCTTTGCTATATATTCTTAATAACTAGAGACTTATCCTGATTTGTTCATGAATTGGATCAAGAAGGTTTATAAAAAATTCTTAAATAAAATGATCCTAAGTCTTGAACACAAGACTCATTATCTTTGGAGTGCCTGCTCCCTTTTTCTTATACATCACATGTGTCAAACTCAAGGCTCACCCTAGTGAAAAAAATTACTTTAGTATATTTCAAATATACGTACATTTGTGTATGTATATTTTAAGTATACTAAGTATTAAGTGTACTACCTATAAATATGTACGAAGTATACTAAAAGTATGCTTGTACCAATTTTGACATTTTAACTTTAAACATACTTAAATATAATTGTACCAAAATACACTTTTAAGAAATATATTAAATAAAAGTATACTTTAAGTGAACAAAATATGTATTTACCCAAGTGCAAATATACACTTGCTCAAGTGTACATTTAAAATATATTTTAAAGATACTTTGTGTATAGTTTAAAATATATGCTCAAAGTTGAATTTTTTAAAATAAAATTCACTTAACGCTTACTTTAAATTATTAATTTCAGTATGTTTTAACTTACATCTCAGTCTATACTTTAGGCTAATAAAGTATGCTTTTTTAGGTGCCTTAATTTTATTGTGACTTTTATGATTATTACTATAACAATCATTCAGCTTCATGTTATAACTGCATAAAGGCTTTCTTTGTTGGGACTTAATAGTTTTCTTTATAAACTTAACCTGGTTTTAATTTAGCTCAGTATGCCAAAGAGAATTTGATATTGCTAGGTTGTTGTTATAACTTGTTCATCATTGTTTTTATCTTCAACATATTTTTGCAGTCTAAGCAAATGAAGATGAAAGAGGAAGCCAGAGAAATCAGGTGTTAGGAAAACTAAAGACTTTCCTGTCTCAGAAGAGGCTCTGGCTCCACCAGATCAACAACCACCACTGAGGATGAACCTCCACATGGTCTTCATGGGTGAAGGCTTTTTTTTTTTTTTTTTCTAAGCAGCTGGCCACAGTTTTAACAGAAAATTGGTGTGTTACCAACACTATGTGTTTAATAAACATGATTTGATTTAAAAATAATTGGACAGAATTTATTCCCCTTGTTAATCTGCCATTTCTCTCTCCTGCATTTTATCCGTTGTTGGCTTTCAGGGCCCTGTGATAGACTGGTGACCTGTCCAGGGTGAACCCCACCTCTCATCTGATGACTGCTAGAGATGGTCACCACCAGCCCCCCTCGCCACCCTGCAAGGATCAGTGTGTTCAGATCATGGATGGAAAGCTTTTAAGGTAGTTTGTCTCCTTAAGTCCACACTTAAAACAGCTTCATAGTTATTGCCAACATCAACTGACTCTATGATATTGCTGACTATTTTTTTCTACTTCTAACATAAACAGGCAAAGAAGACACTCAGAAATGTTTTTCCACCCCAGGCATCCGGTCCCAATTATCATCAGTTCTGATGATGTCACATACATGGCGAGTCCACAACGTCCTAAAAGCTCCAGCAAGTCTCACTTTTTTCTTTGCTGTTTTTCTGTACTCTTTAAAATACAAATGCTTTCTCTGTTTAATTGCTCTATTGTTCTTTTTTGTAGGTTTCTGTAAGGTGCAGTGAATGGGAATGTTCTGTTGTCAATCCTTACTGTTCTTAGGAAGGAGAAATGTCAGTTTATCTGGAATACTGTGACACTGTATTAAAACAATACTCTGTCCTTGCTGAAATATTTTTCACATTTCCTCTAAAGTGTTTTATTGTGCTAATTTTCATAAGCATGTTGTCTATAAACTCTGAATGTATTGACAATTTGTGCAATTCTGTTATAGTATATTGAATTATAAACATAACACTTAAAGCACAAGGGTTAATATAGAAAAATATTCAGATTTTATTTTGTGGTTTTAGACGCTCTATTTTGAAGACTGAGAAATAAAGGCATAACTTTTTTTTTCTTCTCTGTTCTCGGCTCCCACACACAGAGCTGGTCCACTTGCTCAGCCCCTCCCTCCAGTTTCAAACTTTTAGTTAAATAGAAATGTAACTAAAAGTTAAAGACTTAAATATGAAGTAGATGATTGGCTAAATCATGATGAGCTAAAAACTGCTACACTGCTTTTGTTGTACAAAGCTTTAAGATTTTTTTGTCAAAGGTAGCAAAGTAAGAAATTAACGAACTGCAGTCGGCTCTTTATTGTTGATGTGTTTCTTCTTATTGAGCAGTGAAGGTAAATAAACTGTTTACATGTCTTTTGTTTTAAGTATTTACTTAGTGGAGGGTTTTATGTTTGTGCTTCAGAGCCACAGCTAACAGCTAGGTCCTCACTTCAGTGGCTCTGACAGCCTACATTGTTCAGCAGCTGAGCTGTTGCTC